AATCGGTTCCAAGTATTTTTCACCTGGTTCAAGTACGGAAGTTGTTTCAGTCTAAATATCTCCTGAAAGTTATTGATCCTGGGGTACCAGTTATTCTCACTACCGATGCACCAAACTGCGGATAGAAGCATCACTCGCCCATGAATTTCTCGGTGGTATAATACATGTCCACAACTCAAACCAATTAGGGTAAAATTAAGAAAGAATCCTTGATTATCGTTTATACCATGAAGAAATAATCCCATAATATACTTGTGACAAACGACAGAAGCCCGCTAGTGATTTTCCTCTATGAAAGTATAATTCCAGTCTACACGGTCAACCGGCCTCAATACCTGCTAATACATTTCCGCAATACACGTTCGACCACCGATACAGTGATATGGAAGTGATTTCTCAGGCCGACGCGCTTTTCCCACAGTCATCATGGGCCCAGGGGTGCAGTCGTATCGGAAACATGATCCAGCCCATTCTCAGCTTTGCAATGATTCCTGAGACTCGATCAGAGTAAACAGTGTGTAATGGATTATCAACAGAACAGTCTAAAACAACCCCGTCTACCGGAACATCTCCGTTTGTTTTGACAACAAATTACAATGAACACGGTAGATGAGCGTTGCTCGCCTTCCAGAAGATTACCGGCCGAGGAACAATTCCGGCCCGGTCTCATTCAGGACACGCACGTTCGAACCAATGGATTTTCCCCGCTCGCCGCTCTGAGCATCACGGAGGCAATTGTGTTGGACAATACCACTCAGTTCGCGTCACGTGATTTGGTGTGGTGGATGTGACCCTCAGTCGACAAGTAAGCTGAACGATTCGCAGATGTGTTCGAACGCCCTCTGACAAAAGCAGTGAGAATGTGGACGTCGGATGCGTTCCCCCTGAACTCTCTATCTACGTTCAGCCCATTGTTTTTCCGGATGGTCACTGCCTTACTGACGCTCCGATCAACATACAGCTGAGACTGACACGCGATAGCATGCCACTGTCACGTAGACGTTTCCGACAAATATTGCCACAAACGGACGTTTCAGTCTGATGGCCGCGTTCTAGCCAGAAATTACAGACCTGATCGTAGTAAATAGATCGTTGAAGCCGTCTTGAAAACATTGCACAATGCACTTAAACGCGGTTGACACCTCAATCAGTTGAGACCCACACACTTTTCTACTGAGGCCAACGAGAAATATCCCCTGGCCTCGGGCTACATTCTTAATCGGTCACCATTCAGGGCTACCCTGCCTTCGATGCATACATGAAACAAGGTTACACCTAAGACCACTCTCTTCCAGGTTTAGAAAGCTGATCAGCTCGTTCAAAGTTCACTCAAGACGTCATTTTTATGAAAGGGCAGATGTCCGAGCATAGAGAAATATCAAGAAACTGGAGCAGTGACCCGAATTTGCCTTGAATGAGCCTCCGCCAGAACTGTGTGAGCCTCCGATCCAGAAGCATTGTCTTCATTGGACAGCTAACCAGAAGCTATCGATCTCTTTCCCGGATGTGTCACGTCAGCAACATTTGTAATCACCTAACAAGGTGGTCACAGAGTTCACCCGAGATTCCGCTGTTTATTGTGTTCCATGGCCACATGACACATATGGATCGTCTTATGCCTTGATAACAGTGGTATCTCACGCACCGAGACTGACCGGAATTTATTCACATGACTGTGATTCGGAGCTTCGATTCGAGGCACATCTGCGCAAGAGGATGATGACCTAACTCGGATCGAACCATAGCCACTAGGCTTGGTCGTCTCTAAGGCGAGTTCTACTCGGTTAAGGACATCACTGGATCTACCCAAAAGATTTTATCCCCTCGCTATTTGTCTACTCGGATGTCTGGTCCGTCGCTTGTGTCCTATCATCGCGCTGATGGCCAACATTCCCTAATTAAATCGGCAGAGTTGAGCCGAATGATCAGTTGGGACTGAATGCCTGAATGTGATGAGGCATACTGCTATCGGCGGATGAAGCACCCCGTGTCAGCAAGAGGCTGACTGAAATTCACGTGACAAAACGTAAACTCGGCTTTCTTCGTTCTTGGACGAACGGAAAAGTTCGGGAACGTATTGGAGGGACGACGATAACCCGCTCAACGCACAGTAGCTGTGTATGTTGATTCAGTGAGAGTGGTCTCTCACATCCACTACGATGTATGTGCACTCTTAATGACTCTCCCGACACACGGTATGATGAGTGCAGTTTCATCGAATCCGACTTCAACCCGTGTCACCAACTGTCAAATCGTCGACGACGTCAACCTTGAGATTGTTGGTCTGAAACAATGCGAGATCCATCAACGCCGTGAACAGCAGAGGTACAACGATAAGAGAAGGTGCCCACAGAACACCAATTTCGAGTCGTGCGAAAATGGCAGCCTTATGATTTGGTTGCAGTGAACTCATGCCAACAAAAAGTCGATCCATCCGATTCCGGATGAGGCCAGAATCCAGAAGGTCAACCTTTATCCGGCAATTATTGTGGTCAAAGGCTAACCGAGAGAGAGATAAAGAGAGGGAAAATAATCGGGAGATCTGCGAGGAATAAGTTGCCGTTTCGGGACGCGAAATTCTTGAGAGCGGAATTAATAGAAAATTCAATACAATCAAGTTAGCATCGTTCGTTTGCTTTATGCTTCATTTCATGCAGCGTAACTTGAACGGCGAACAGAAAGGCACATTCAGTAAAATAAGGAGGAAGCATCTGAGGATAAGCACCACGCAAAAAAGAGTGCTTTAAAATGCACGCAATAGGAGCAATTCGAAAGTGTTTCATTTCTTCGGTGCTGCTAGCGCGAAACCCAGGTCCTCATACTCCATGTCGTACACGGTGTAGTACTTGTTCAGAAACGGTCGACCAAGAAGTATATGAGGGAAGTTTCCTTCCGGTGCTTCAGTAAACACACTCTGACACGTCCATTTTCCGTTCTTTTTGACCTGCCGAAATGGGAATGAGGTTGACGAAAGCATGTGTCATTGAAATTAGTCTACAGTTCATTACTGTGTTCATTTGATCGACATTGTTTTATTGCATATTTATTCTCTGATGAAATCAGATGCAAAGTAGTGGTTTACACCTTGCAAACTCATGCACGATTGCACCAGTGACCAGTCTAAACTGGCCACTGTATGGTGGGAATATGGCACCGAGAACATGTTCACCTATTCAGACGCGAAAAATGAGATGCGTAGTGAGTTGAAGGCAACACGCTCGCGTCGCATGTCGCAGGTGCGCAGCTCAAATCCAGACAAGACCAAGACTGGGCACTGATAATGAGCTTTACCAAGTGAAGAACTCGAGTCCGTTCCTCTCTCGTCTGGTCCGAATGGTTGCAATCAATGCTGAAGTTGTTAACACCCGAAAAGTGCATGTGTTTTCAAGAAAGCTGTCAAAGAAGGGAGATATGCAAACGACCACTCACGTACCGATCTAATGTAGTACCTCGGCTCCATAGATAACGTGAACTCGCCAACCTCAAAGTGAACGATCGGTTTCTTGGGAATGTTTGAACAATCGACCAAGTAGAATCTGCCGTCGAACCCAATCGGTTGAAGTACGTGGTTGATCTTACTGAGTACGCTTTTTGGAACCCAGATTTTCGTGGCGCCGCTATCCACAGCCACGAGATAGGACGACGCCTCGCTCTCTCCGTCATCAATGCGAACTCTGCAAAGAAACGAATATCGTCTCAGCACAAGATACGATGGTCCTACAACCACGAATATTATCAGGTCAACGATCTCATTGGAAAACGGATGACACACTAGTCCATAACTCTCACCGATTAAGTGATCAACTAGTATCAAGGTAACTACGTAAGCTTGTGATTACCGGTATAACTCTGCTTATAAAATCAACCCCTTCAACTGTCAGAGAGGTATGAAAGAAATCGTGAAACTTTGGGTGCTCTCGGTGCTACACACCTTCTAGGAATGGGACCGCGTGTTCCCCACTGCGCCTCGTTCGAGA